CTCTTCTCCTCGAAGGAGCGCGCGGCTTATTAAGAGGGACGGTACTCGTTAATTCCTCTTTATGAGCGTGACACTCTATTTTTGGAGTCGTCGCCTTTATTCCACGATGGAAAGACGTACGTAAGAACTGGTAATCGTGGAAGGATCGTGGAAAGCGTATGATGTAATTTTCTACGAGTAAGCCGACTGTATCGGTATGTCAGAGGGTGTACAGTCACTTTGATCTGAGAAATTGGCCGAGTTGCCATAAGCGTCCGCGAATAAAGCGTTACCTTTTATGAGCCTGTGTGTGTCATGTATGTATACTTGTGCGAGTGTTGTATGAAATATCGGAAAGGATTACCGTTGCTCGCGTGTACGTGTGTCGGCGATTATTACATCAGAAGTAAGTCATGATGCTGGAAAACGTGGTCGATCGATAACATTGAAAATCATCCGTCCGTGGATGGCCGGATCTGGCGAGCAGCCAACCGGCCAGTCATAAATTCAGACCCTTTCTCTCTTTGTTTTTCGAAAATTTGCCTAGATCGTTTCACGACATGCATCGATTACATTTTTCCTTTCTTTTTGTTCGCAGGCGTTCTCTTCGTTTCTGTCCAGAGGGAAGAAATACCACCACCACCACCACCATGGCGTTCGCGGGGTTGAAGAAACAGATTAACAAAGCCAATCAGGTGAGTACTATTTCGATATATATTTTCGATCGAACGTTCGATATACGTTCGATCAAACCGACGAGAAGTCAAATTTAGAAATTCGAATGTAGAATAAAAATTCTTATTCTTTCGGTATCCTGTGTCTCGTTACACTATATATACAATCGGCGGTCATGATCGACTGGACGTTGAAATTTTGATCACGTTCCGTGCTTCTTCGTCGGTGACCTTTTATCAACGTGGAACTTATCGCAATTTTCGTGAAACGAACAGGGATACTTTGTAATTTGCTACCGTATAACCGAGTATCGTGGAAGTTATGGGATACTGAACTCAGGCACGCGAAATTCGACATGGTCGGAATTCTAGCGTAATAACATCAACAAGCAGATATTCCCGTAGAATTCCAAGTCTCCACGAGCACCTAAATTCGTACAGCACTGATCGTGTCCCGGAATCAACTGAGACAACATACATTGGCATAATTAGCGATACTGTTTAATACTGTTTCGCGTCTCATGGGTCAGCAGTGACCCATTCAGTTCCACAACGGACGAAGCGATATATCGCTCGACTTTACTCGTTATTCGACCAGGGATAGGGTGGGGAACGAGATGAAACTGCCAAGAATATGGGACGATCGTTGCTTTCCTGCGATTGAATATCGCGATGCAACTTTTTGACCCGGTTTTAAGGTTCCTCTTCCGGAAATCACGGAACTTCCAGCAG